ACCCTAAACCCTAAACCCGGGTTTTAGGAGCCGAGGATTTAGTGCCTCAGGGTGTAGGATTCGGCAGTTTGGGTTTAGGATCTAAGGCTGGGGAGTCAGAGTTCCTATGAGGGTTAAGGGTTTAGGATTCAGGGTTTGGGGTTCAGGGGTAAGAGGTTTAGGGTTTAGGGGTTTAGGGTTTAGGGTTTAGGGTTTAGGGTTTAGGGTGGATGGTGTAGTTTAGGCTGGATGGTGTAATCAAAATGCCCCAAGCACGACCTAAACTTCAACCCAAATGCCATAAAGCCAAATCGCCAGACGCGCAGGTTGGAGTGCAACCTCCCGTGATCAAGACGGAGAAGAAGGATGATAAACCGAAAGCCGAGGGCGAGAAGAAAGAGGAGAAGAAGGAAGAAAAGAAAGAAGAGAAGAAGGAGGACAAGCCTAAGGCTGAGGCCGACAAGAAGGAGGAAAAGAAGGAAGACAAGCCAAAGGCTGAGGCGGACAAGAAGGAGGAAAAGAAGGAAGAAAAGCCCAAGGCTGAGGCAGACAAGAAGGAAGAAAAGAAGGAAGACAAGCCCAAGGCTGAGGCAGACAAGAAAGAAGAAAAGAAGGAAGACAAGCCCAAGGCTGAGGCAGACAAGAAGGATGAAAAGAAGGAAGACAAGCCCAAAGCCGAGGCCGATAAGAAAGATGACAAGAAGTCAGATGCTCCAAAGTCTGAGGGCGAGAAAAAGGCAGAAAAGCACGGAGAAGTCCAGTGGACTTGCCCGCCCGCATGCCCTAATGCCGAGAAAAACAACAAGCCAAAGGCGGAGGCCGAGAAAAAGGAGGAGAAGAAAGAGGACAAGCCCAAGGCGGAGGGCGACAAGAAGGAAGACAAACCCAAAGCCGAGGGTGAGAAGAAGGAGGACAAACCCAAGGCCGAGGGCGAGAAAAAGGAGGACAAACCCAAGGCTGAGGGCGAGAAGAAGGAGGACAAGCCCAAGGCTGAGGGCGAGAAGAAGGAGGACAAACCCAAGGCTGAGGGCGAGAAGAAGGAGGACAAACCCAAGGCGGAGGGCGAGAAGAAGGAGGACAAGCCCAAGGCGGAAGGCGAGAAGAAGGACGACAAACCCAAGGCCGAGGGCGAGAAGAAGGAGGACAAACC